ACGGTTAAGGGTTGGTTGTGTGACTTGTGGTTGTCTAGGTATACACTAAAGTTCGACGGTTCAAAGATATCAAATCTACCGATTGATCGAGTATATCCGACATAAGTTCACTACGGAAAGTTCAAAGGGAAACCTACTTATCCAGATGCAATTAATCCTTACTTGTGAATCACACAGTTTTTCATGCATACTTCCGTGATATAGCCATTCCTCATTCATGTGGGGGATTGTTGGGTTTTTAAGGTATTTAATTAATATATTAAATACTTAAAAGAAGGTGAATGGGAAATGGAGGGAAATAAAATTTTTGAGTGAAATTTTAAGTTTCCCCTCCCTTGGCAAATGGGCATTGTCCCATATTGGAAGAGGAAGAGGTTTTTTATGGGTATATAAGCAATTGCTCTTCTTCTAGCTCTTAAAGAGTTGAGAAGAAGGCAAACCTCGCGCCGTCGTCGTCGGTCGCTCGGCTTCGGCTTCGGCTTCGGATTCGAATTTTGGACCAAATTTATTGGTTAATAGTAAAATGTTATTAAATATTTGTTTTAATAACAAAATATTAATATTAAATATTAATATTAAATCCAATCCGTTTTTCTGTTTTGGTAACAGAAAAGTAACTACCCTCTTCAATTTTCCCTCTTTATTTTCCCTCTTTATTATTGAGTAAATGGCCATTTATGTAATGACATTTATGTTGTGGGCGTTTTGCATAAACAGCCATTCTGAAGAGACCCAACTTTGGCTATATATACTACACTATTCTGCTCAGAATTTTAACTACAATTTTCTGAGTTTTCTCTCCTTCTTCTGCATACTTTTAGCATCAAAACAAAGCAAAAAGTAAGTGTGATTTGCTACCGAACTTTGTGTTCGCTGAAACACTGGGGTTTGAAGTACCACTACACCAGTGTGTAATTCGTTCTATCCTGGGAGGAAATAATCCATAACCTTGGGTACTAGGAGGGGATTAAATTCCTTAAGGAAACACTGTGAATTCAGTGGGCTCGAATTGGTTTATGTCATTTCTGTTTATATTCATTACTGTTTATATTCATTTATATTTCCAGAATTTATTTTACAAATACAGTGTAATAACAATATCTATAGTGACTTTCGATGTTTAAATATTTATAGTGCATCTCTTAGTTAACAGGAACTTTTCCCCCAAGTCTCACCATTAGAAAGCATATATATCAAGTGGATAATTAATAGAAATAAAAACATATATCAAGTGGATAGCTAATGCAAAACGTATATATATGCATCTACAGTCAAAATAGTTAAGCAAATTGGGTGGGCGTAGAGGTGGGTTGGATCTTCAACGTTGTGCAACTAGGAATTCCCAAAATTATTGACCATTTATAGATCAAGTTCACATATTAGTTAGTCTGATTTTGACTTAACGTTTGTTACAATTCTCTTTTTCATTTTCAAGAGAAAAAAAAAGTTCTGCATCCGATAATTGGCGACCAATATATGTTACACAAATTAACTTTTATGTTCATAATAATTGTCAGGCTCTTACGAATAGCCGCCAGGCATCTTTCAAGATTATTCCTTTATAAATATAATATATCAAGTGCCAATATATATATGATTATTGTCTATAGTGCAAAAAGCCGCCATACCCCTATATAAACCCTTAACTCAAATTTCAATATATCCAACAACCAATTTTCTTACTAAAAAGTTCACTGAAATGAGTCACTTGACAACTTGTTTAGTGTTCCTCCTCCTTGCCTTCGTGACCTACACTTATGCTTCCGGCGTATTTGAGGTCCATAACAACTGCCCCTACACCGTCTGGGCGGCGGCAACCCCTGTAGGCGGTGGCCGGCGCCTCGAGCGAGGTCAAAGCTGGTGGTTTTGGGCGCCACCTGGCACTAAAATGGCACGTATATGGGGTCGTACTAATTGCAACTTTGATGGTGCTGGTAGAGGTTGGTGCCAAACCGGTGATTGTGGCGGAGTCCTGGAATGCAAAGGGTGGGGTAAACCACCAAACACTTTAGCCGAATACGCGTTGAACCAATTTAGCAACTTAGATTTCTGGGATATTTCTGTAATCGATGGATTCAACATTCCTATGTCTTTTGGCCCGACTAGGCCTGGCCCCGGAAAATGTCACGGAATTCAATGCACCGCCAATATAAATGGTGAATGCCCTGGTTCACTTAGGGTACCTGGAGGATGTAACAACCCATGTACAACATTCGGAGGACAACAATATTGTTGTACACAAGGACCATGTGGTCCTACTGAGTTATCAAGATGGTTCAAACAAAGATGTCCTGATGCCTATAGTTATCCTCAAGATGATCCAACAAGTACATTTACTTGCACGAGTTGGACTACAGATTATAAGGTTATGTTCTGTCCTTATGGAAGTGCTCACAATGAAACAACAAATTTTCCATTGGAGATGCCTACAAGTACTCATGAAGTGGCTAAGTAGATCACATTGAGTGGAGCTAGCCATCTTTTTCTTGTTGAATTTGCTTGCATTTTGGTCATTGTCTTTAATTTGTCTTTACACTCATTTCTTAATCTTTCTTTTCTTGAGTGGCTATGATCTGAATAACGATCGATCGATCACATATATTGTACTTTGTCGTACCCATGATGTTTTCATTCTTCAATCAAGAGTGCATTTGGATTATCGTGTCATTTTTGTTTTTTCTTTTAAATTGTTATTATTAAAGTCTTATATCTTAAACCAAATAGAGATATGAAAAAAATAGTCTTGATAACATTCCAGAGTGCCCAGATCCCACAATTTAAAATGGTAGGGACAAGATAAACTATTAGTGGCTCGTTAAAGTTCATAATAAGTCAAAAGATGGAAATCATTCTTTATAGGCGGCTTTTAGAACATTTTCACGTACAACATTGCAGGGCCGGATCTGACTTTTACTGTCGGTTCATCTGAATTTAATATTTTTTACGCGAAACGTAATATATATATATATATATATATATATATATAAAAAATGTGTGTGTATAATTTCTGATCTATAGCTTTAAACATACCATATGTTCAGATATGTTTAGTGTTAAGACCTTAAAGGTTGAAACTCTCGAGTTAAAATCTCGGATCTACCTTAGCTTAATTAAATAATGATGCACATAAGGGAAAACTATCATTAGTAGTAAGGGGCGAACCTAGAGCGTTGAGTATGGATTTAACCCACTAACTCTTGCGTATAGACTCTTTATTTATATTAAGAAATCCTCTAAATGTTTGTAAATATATAACTGTGAACCGAGTTATTTTTTCAAATTAATTTGAGATTATGTACGGTAGGAACCATAACCTTCAAATCCTGGATCCGCCCATGTTAGTAGTATAACATTTATCTACTGATTCTCAGTCTTGAATATTAATTTATTTATATTTTGGAAATGACAATTTAATAAACAAGAGATATTCAAACAGTAGTTTCACCATTCCAAGTTGTTGTCTTCTTCAAATGCTGTTGAGACGTTGGACCTATTGATCTCTTATACTCTAATTACAATTATTACTTCGTAAATATTTCCAAATTATCTTTAGAAAAAGAAATGCTGCTTTGAGCGTTCTAATAGTCTAGTGGCTTTCGATGTTTAATTATTGATAGTAGGGGTATTATCACTTCTAGCTCGTGGCAGAAACTATTTATATTTGGTAGCCGAAAAAGTGTATAATTTTTGTATATAACATAAATAATGTATATATATACAAAAATATATAAATTTTTTATATTTTTTCGACTATTATTTTTATAGCGGCTATACAGTGTCATTTTTCTTTGATAGTATCTCTTCGTTAAAAGGCCCCTTTTTCTCCAAAGTCCCACCATGGCACCATTATAAAACATAAGTCAAGTTGATAATTGATAGAAAAAAAATATGTCAAGTGCATAATTAATAGAAAACATATGTTTATCTAGTGTCAAAAAGCTAAGAAAATAAATGGGGTACGTTGGGATATAGGTAAGTGGGGTCTTTTACGTTGCTTTTGTTAATTAATTATTGATTTGCGATATTGTCAAAAGATTAATATTTTCCGACGTAATTTTGTTGTTTTATCCTAATACAAGGTTAAGTCATTTCATTCCATCAATTTCTGTTAGGCTCTTAAATCATTGAGAGGCAAATCATTTTTTGTTTACATTTTCCTTTTAGATTAATTTCTGTCCTAATATATATAGGAGCGGTAACATATTTATTAAGCCTTCGTGGTATAATGAAAATGGTTACGATGTTTCAACATACATCTTTTCCTATAGTTGCATGCAGGCTCATGTCTCAATCTTCTGCGGTCAAACCTCTCTATAACAACATTGTTTGTTCCTAATATTTTTGGATGTTATAGCGAATTACTATTATAGAAAACATATATTATAATAGAACATGAGATTTAATTCCGAATTTTTTTGACTTTTATAGCGAAGTGCTGTTATATAAGGATGCTATTATACAGAGGTCTGACTGTATATGCAAAATACAAAGCTTAGTTTTTCTTTTAGAGATTTCCTTTCTCTAATACCAGACGATTAACAGCTTAGTTTTGATTGATCACTGAATTTAAAAAAAGAATGAAATTTTATGAAGCTTGTGATCTTAAATATGTTGTAATATTAAAACATGGTCTTAAAGTAAATAGGTGAAATTTAAAATTAAATTATTTTAGAATAAAAAAAAATAGAAGGCACTAATAATCTCTTTCCCATTACGTCAAAGAATTTGCTTATTTACAGGAGGAATTGCATAGAAGTCAAGTAGCATGTGCAGAATAATTCAATTACGTACGTACTTGAAAATGTTTCTAAAAGCCGCCTATAAATAATTATTTTCATCTATTAACTTAAGACTGAAATTAATGAGCTCCAAATAGTTTATCTTATCCTACCATTTTATATTTTCAAGGTCTGGATCCAACTCTAGAATATTATCAATACTATTTTGTTTGTTTATTGGTCTAAGGCTTTAGACTTCACCAAAACTTTAAAAGAAAAACATAAAAACAATAATCCAAATGCATTATTGATCTATATAACATCAAGACAAAAGTACATGTGACTCTTATTCAGGTCTTAGGTTTATTACAGCAAAGATCGTGAATTGATCACTTCAAACAAAGTGTGTAAACTATAAAAACGAGTCAAAGTAGATTGTCTTACACTAACGCTTCGACAGAATAATTCGACCAAAAGGTGATCTTATTACAGAAATAGCCACACTACTTAGCCACTTCATCACTTCCAGGCATCTCCAAGGGAAAATTTGGGTGAGCTTGACCATTAGGACAAAAGATAACCCTATAATTTGTACTACCACCAGGGCAAGTAAAAGTGCTTGTAGGATCATCTTGTGGGTAGCTATAGGCATCGGGGCATCTTTGTTTGAAAAATCTTGATAAATTTGTTGGACCACATGGTCCTTGTGTGCAACAATATTGTTGTCCTCCGAATGTCGTACAAGGGTTATTACATCCTCCGGGAACCCTAAGTTCGCGGGGACATTCACCGTTTATATTAGCCGTACAATGAATTGCATGGCATTTCCCTCCACTAGGGTTAGTCGGGGCGAAAGTCATCGGTATATTGAATCCATCCACTAAAGAAATGTCCCAGAAATCTAAGCCACTGAATTGATCCAAGGCGTATTCGGCCAAGGTGTTTGGTGGTTTACCCCACCCGGTGCATTGTAGGACTCCGCCACAGTCACCGGTTTGGCATGTACCTTTACCTGCAGCATTGAAGTTACAATTAGTACGACCCCATACACGTGCCATCTTAGTACCTCGTGGCGCGTTGATCACCCAAGTTTGGCCTCGATCGAGACGCCGACCACCGCCTATGGGTGTCGACGCCGCCCAGACGGTGTAGGGACAGTTGTTTCGGACCTCGATAGTGGCAGCATAAGTATAAGTTACGTAGGCAAGAAGGAAGAAAACAAAAGATCTCAAGTTGCCCATGTTGTTGGACATTTTTTTTAACAAGTTGGGTTGTTGGATATAGTGACAAATTATTTTCTAGTGGTTTATATAGGGGAATGGCGGCTTTTCGTACTATGGATATTAATCATATATTTTTATTAACATTTGACTAATAAACGGATAATTCCCAAGGTTGCTTTGGTAAATATGGAGGCGGCGCTTAAACATAAGAGCCGCCTAATAATTAATTATTTTATGAGTATATAAGTCAATATATTTGGTGATAACGTTGACCTATAAACTCAGTAACGTGACACTTGTACCAATCTCTCTTTTAGTCAATTTCTTGCTTTCTTTTATCAATACCATTTTTTAATTCGCAAGAAATTGACAGATCGCCTCTTTTTGGCAGATAGCCAGCATTTTAAAGTTATTTAATATTTAGTTACTTTTTAATGTGAAAATAAAATTTAAACAAATATGTTAGTAGCAAAAATATGAAAAGATTATAAAAAATTCATTAGAGTTTACATACTCTCTCCGGTCCAAAATAAGAGATTTTTTGGTTGTTTTCACACAAATTAAGAAATTCACCTTTTAACATTAATTAGCAATGAAATTGACCATGTTAACCTTTACTATCTCTTCACATAAATATTCCTAACACATACTCCAACATTAATTACTCCAAGGGCAATGTAGGAAAAGAATAATTAATTCATTCTTGAAATTTAGAAAAATCACTTATTTTGGACCACAAAAAAAAAAGAAGCCAAAAAATCACTTATTTTGGATCGGAGGGAGTATTCATTAGTTTGAACTCCACATTTCGTATTCCCGATTTTTTTTTGGAGTTTGCACTGATCACAAAATTTTCCTGTAGTTTTAATACTGAAATCTTGGAGTTTCACTTTTAATATTGATGTTATATTGTGCCCTACTTATTTTTTCTTCCTTCGTTTTCTTTTTGAGAACTATTTCATCTATTTATATAGCAGCTCATTAATTAGATAGCGTTATTCTGGATGTAGAATAAGCGCAGAGAAGAAGAACACAGAAAAATTATACCAGTCAGGTAGATTTGATGAACAATTTAAGAAATAAATCGATTGCAGATAAAAAAAAGTTACGCCGATTCGGTGAAATTTGTTGAACAATAAAACTAGCATAAAATCATGCCAACCGGATAGAATTTGTGAATACTTAACAATATAGGTAAAGCAAATATAACATAAATTCTATCAATCCGATAAAAAAATCTCTCAAGAACTATATATATAGGTCCAGAGATCATTCTTTAAGTACATTACAAAAATAAAAACAATATTTAAAGACCATAGGCCGTTGGTTTTTTGCTAGATCTACATAAAATTTATAAAAACATCAGTTTCGAAACAAAGTCTTGTGTAGGTACTACCAGAACATCAACTGATACAAAAGTCGACAAAAAGAATTACTATTCCCTCCGTTTATTTTTACTTGACACGTTTTGATTTTTTACGTCCCTTAAGAAATAATAAATGAAATGTATAATTTACCAAGATATCCATATTAATTGATGCATATTTGATTAGATTTGAGAAAATGATTTGAAATAAGTAATAAATACTATGGAAATAACAAGAAAAAAAAGTTTATCTTTTCTTAATATGCGTAAAGTAACAAGTAAAAATGAAAATCTATTTTTGGTATACGTTGTAAATGCCTAATTTTTGCCTTGTTTATATATATATATATATATATATATATATATATATATATATATATATATATATATATATATATATATATATATATGTGTGTGTGTGTGTGTGTGTGTGTGTGTGTGTGTGTGTGTGTGTGTGTTTTTCTTATTTTTTGTATGTATAAGTTTCAAGAGTTGATTAATGGTTTGATAAATGGGGTAGGGATAGGACTAGTGTATTTTAATTAAAATTGAGCCAAAATTGGCCCAAAATTTGAGCCCATTTCGTCCAAATCCGGTCCACAAGGGGCTGCCAAGGGGAGGGTCCAAACGACGTAGTTTTGGATCAAAACTACGTCGTTTCAATTAGTAACCTGAAGATTGAATCTTACCCATCCATCCCATCTTGATCCAACGGCCCTGATTAATCTCCCACCCTAGGTATTTAAAGCCTAGTTTGGCCAAAATTTGCCCCCATTTCCCTTATTGTCTCTTCATTTTTCTTCTTCCTCTCTCTTTTATTTCTCCTCCCCAGCAACTCCGCCTGTCCGCCGCCCAGCGCCGCCCGCCGGAATTCGCCACCGGCGGCGGCCAACGTCCAAACACCCCCAAATTACACCATTCTTTTCCTCTCATCACCCTCTTTCTAGATCCACAACCCAAATCCCCCAAATCTCCACCAATAATCAACAAAATCAAACCCTAGTCGCGCCGTCACCACCCTAGCCGCCGCCCACCACCCCAAACTCCAAAAATTTTACACCACCGGCCTCCTCTTCTCCCCCTCTTTCCATATCTCCGACTCAAAACATCAAAAAACCCCACGCCGCCCTAGCGCCGCCGCCATTGCCCTAGCGCCGCCACCACTGCCGCCCACTGTCGCCCGTTTCTTTTCCCTAACCGGCCTCGAGCAAGGTTGTGTCGTTGATATTATTGAAACCGGACTCGGATTCGCCGGAATTTTTTGGTTTCAAGAATATCAACAATAGAAGCTTGCTCCAAAGTCGTACCACTGCCTATCGTCGTCTCCCGGATGCTCGAGTATATGGTAAAATCGCAATCCCGGCCCCGTTATTAATTTTCTGATTTTTCTTTTTCTTTTGTTTTTTTTAGAGTTAGTTTCTGTTTTTTTTTAATTTAATCCATTTTCTGATTATGTTTGTCTTTGTTAAATCGCTTCGGCGATATCGTGCGTTCCGTTTTATTTTAATAGCTAATTTTTGTTTTGCTCATGTTGGTTCACAATACATGTGTTGAAATTTAATTACATGTTTTAATACTTGGTTTAATTTGAATCAATAGGTTGATATTGGTGTTGTTAAAATCTGAAATTTAGATATTTTTATAATGAAATAGGGTACTAGTAGCTTTATTTTAGTAGGGTGGCTGAAGTGACCCTTTGGCTCCTGCCATAGCAGATTTCAGGCTGTCCTTTCACCTTTTGGACAGCCTTTAGCCCACAAATTCAGCCTCTTTTGGACAGATTTTTGGGGAACCAAAATCTGTCCAAAAAGTTGGCTTTTCTTTGCCTATTTAAGGGCTGCCCTTTCTTCATTATAAAGGACTCCAACACACTACAATTGAGAAGGAAAAACACACAAAAACATTAAAAAATCAGCACTTGAACACATGGAAAGTAAGCTGAAATGGTGAGCTTTAGGAGTTGATTTTAGAGTGCAAACTTTTAGAAAAGTATAAGTCCTCTTTAGAGTTCGTTTCTGGGTTTCTCCTCTGAGTTTTCGGGCTGTTTTAACACGGATTTGCTGCTGATTTTGCTGTTGTTGTGCTGCTGTTTTTTATGCTGGTTGAATTGCTGGACTACCATTTATTCTTTTGCTATTCAGGTAATCCTTTAAGACTCGTAATGTATGTATTTTTAGCAATGGGAATAAGTTGATATGTCAGTAGTTTTATGGATTTTTAAGCATGTTTTCAAGCTATTGTATTCGAGTAACAATGTTAAGTATGCCATGAATGACTTTAGGTGTATAACACATAGCATGAGTTTGTTTTAGTTGCTGAAATTTCAATGCAACATTGCTTCTAGGATTGCTGTTTTTTTTCTCGAATCTGGCCATTTTTGCCATTTTTGCAAAAGTGGCTATTTTTGTAAAGTGTTTATTTTTGAATCTTGCCATTTTGCCAGCTTTGCAAAAGTGGCTATTTTTGTAAAGTGTGTGTTTATACAATTGTGGCTATGTAGTTAATGGTCATAAATGCAAACTAAGTTAAAGAACCAATATTGTATCAACTTTGGGCCTTTTGAACCAAAAAATAAAAGCTGGTCCATTTACCTTAAACAACAAAATTACCCTTTTCTTCTATATAGCATTGGGCCAATAAAAATCCATTTCTTGGCCCATTTTTTAGTAATAAATTCCAGCAGCCCAAGAGGTCTTTACAAGCTGGCCCATTTCCCCTTTTAACAAAGAAGTTGGCTCATCCCTTTAAAATAGATAGAGTTGGTCCAACATTTATTTGCATAATATTTTTAATAATAAGATTAGAAAAATAGAAATAAAAAATCAGATTTTTTTTATATACCAATCAAGTAACTCACTTTCTTCCAATTAATTATATCGAACGCTAGGCAATTAGTAGGTGTGCTCTAATTCCACGGTTTCGCTTGCGTAATGTGATGTTCAACATTCAATAATTTAATTCAACAAGGTCATACAATATTCGTTAGTTTTCCAGTTGATTTTTAGTTAATAAACTCTTTGCCAAACTCGCGGATTCGCTTGCGTAGCGCGATAATTGACCTTTTAATAAAATTCAAAAAAANCAACTAAACTTTTGGTCCATTCTCGTGATGAGACAATGTTCAGTACCAAGGATAAAGCATTAAGGCTTTTTAATGATTTCTAAATTTGATACAGGGTATATCAAATAGTGTATCTACGGGATGATACGTTTAGGAATCACCTATGTAAGTGTGAAGTGTTAGCCGCTTCAAGGAGAACACAGCAAGGCCAGTTCTCTACGCACTTATGAAACCAGGCGGTGTTCATGGCTGAAACGAACACAACAATGAGAACTAAAGACGGTTAAGGGTTGGTTGTGTGACTTGTGGTTGTCTAGGTATACACTAAAGTTCGACGGTTCAAAGATATCAAATCTACCGATTGATCGAGTATATCCGACATAAGTTCACTACGGAAAGTTCAAAGGGAAACCTACTTATCCAGATGCAATTAATCCTTACTTGTGAATCACACAGTTTTTCATGCATACTTCCGTGATATAGCCATTCCCCATTCATGGTGGGGGATTGGTTGGGTTTTTAAGGTATTTAATTAATATATTAAATACGTTAAAAGAGGGTGAATGGGAAATGGAGGGAAATGAAATTTTTGAGTGAAATTTTAAGTTCCCCCTCCCTTGGCAAATGGGCATTGTCCCATATTGGAA